ACTTTTTATACTCCCACACTGTAGTTGATTTTTTTTTTTTAATTTCACAGTTGTTTAAATTTCCATTGCCCAGCTTAGTTCCAGGCCACAGATCCACTTGCAAAGCCCAACACGTACAGTTAGTTGTAGTTGTGCTTCTATGACTGGAAGCAGGACTGATGTACTTACAATAATTACACAAAATAAAAGACAGCCAACATAACATTGGTTTGCAGAAACACTTCCTATGATGCCAGTTTGCCTCTGGTATCAGCCCAGAAAACACTCAGTTTTGCTGTGTTTGGTTTTGCGAGTGCCTGGATATCAGCTGTCTCCCTGGTTTGTTCTGGGGAAAAACAGTGCATGTGGATAAAGCAGCCATTACCTCAAGCTGGGAAATAGCTGCAGCAACAAAAAACAAAACACTGATCAGAGCAGATGAAGTTGGAAGTCATCAGAGAACATATAACTGCAAGCATTTAGCATGGCTGCTGTGCTGCTGGAAGTGATAACAAATAGGAAATGGAATCATGTTTCATTTGAGATCTGAGATAACTGCATAATTTCACTTATTATCAGTGCTTCTTTATGGGAGAAAGAACACAAAGAACTGTCACAGGGAAGGTATTAAAATCTGAGTGCCCCAATATCCCAATCCTGCACCTTTTCAAAGCACACTGAGCAAAGCAAGGAGGGAAAGGCTTCATTTCTCCAGACAGCTTCCTGCAGCCTGTCCTCAGGGAGGACCCATCCTAAAGAGTTTGGTATCACAAAACTGAGTTAGCACTTCATTTTCTTCAGAGGCTTATCTGTGCTTCTCTCCCATTCTTGATGATGAAAGCTGGAGAGGGGCTTTTCACAAGGGCATGTAGTGCATAGAACAAGGGTAAATGGCTTTAAACTGAAGGAGTGCAGATTTAGATTAGGCATTAGAAATAAATTCTTTACTGTGAGGGTGGTGAGGCATTGCAGCAGGTTGCCCAGAGAAGTTGTTCCCATCCCTGGAAGTGTTCAAGGCCAGACTGGGGCTTTGAACAAGGTGGTCTATTGAAAGGTGTCCCTGCACATTGCAGGAGGGTTGGATAGAGATTATCTGTAAGGTCCCTTCCAACACAAACCATTCTATGATTCTCTGATTCCATCATGATTCATAAGCAGTAACCTAATGCAAAAGACAGGAATGCTTCACTAGCATGCAATCCTGTTTTGCTAAATCACGTTTCAGATCTAGAAAACTCTACCAAAGAAACAGACAAGTTGCTAAGCAGATCCATGGCTCTCTAAATTTCAGCAGTAGGAACGCTTCAAAAAGGAACTTAGAAAGTCTCTTTCCTTCAGGTGGAATACACTGTAATCTAACCATGAGATTTTCACCATGGGATAAGATCTAATCCAACTGGGAGACAATCCCATCTTTTCTTTATTTTTTGCAAGTTCAGATGTACTTAAAAAGAGAAACTAAGAGGACCACAATATTGAGTACTATTATCTGTGGAAAGGACATCTGGCCACCATTCAAAGAGCAGAGATGAAGTTAGGAATATTGAGTCACCAACAGATATAAACCTATTTGGCCTAATATTCTTAATTATACTTGCAAAATTCAAAATGTTGTAAAGTTATGGAGAGATGAGAACTGAGAATGGATTTTCTGAGGAACAGCACATGAGCAACCAGCAATAGCCAAACTGGAAGGCTTCATTTTAGCCAGATGGGTTTTTGAAACATCTGGATTTGCTGGCAAACCAGAAAATTGCACATTACACTGCTAACAAGACAGTTTTGCTACAAATCTTGCATGTTTCTTTTGCACTGATGGGTCAGTATATGATTAGGTACAATCTGGATGTTGAGATTTAGAAATCACAATTGGGAAATACAGCGGGGATGATGAAGGTCAAATGGGAGGGGAGAAAAAAATCTTACTCATACCCCCAGCTGACTCACTGCTGTCCTTCTTTGTTCCTGCTTGCTTGGAAGAGTTTTGATTACATGACTTTTCAATCCCACATTTCTACTGATAAATTATATACAGCCCGGAAAGTAGATGTTACAAGGTCCTCCCTTCCCCAGCAGCATGAGCAAGGCAAGAACCCTTGCATGCTATCAGAGCCACTAGCACGCTGCTATGTCAAAACAATGAGAGTGTGTGATGATGATGTAAATTGTGCTACATTGAAGTAGTCCAGTTAAAAAACCCAGAATCAGACACTGAAAAAATGATCTCTTCCTTGTCCTTTTAAGGAAGAGCTTATGGAGTCCCCAAGATTTTGGCTCCTATAGGGCCCTTAGAGTTGCTCTAAGTTAATCCCTCCTACTGCTTTTTCTTCATCCTACTTATTTTTTAAAAGAGATGCTGGAAAGTGCATTTTTGCAGCAAAGTTTTTAATAAGCATATCAACGTCTTAAAACCTTCAGTTACCATAAGAATGACCAAAATCCTAATGTCTTAATTAACTGTTTTTATTAGCACACTTTACACCATTCTTATTAGCACTCTACTCATTCATACTGGAGTGTTAGCAGGAATTGTGTATTTGATCTAAAGAACCTTAAGCTCCTTTGCAACTTTGATGCAACTTCACAGTGTTGCTGAAGACCTGAACTCTTGTTTTTAAAATACATTGGAAATACTAGGTAAGATAGAAACAAAAATGGTAACGTGTTACATTGCAATCAAACTGCAAAGTAACACATTTGGAAAATTCTTTAAAGTACAAGTAGAACATGTCACAAAACATTAACGTGCTTTTTAATTGCATGCAAGTTCGCACTGAAGCAACACATAAAGCAAATATTCTTGATTCGGCACCGTGGGAAGTGATCACCGGAAGCTTTTGCTTTCTTTCACAGGAAAAAGTCAAACACTGCAACACATGCCAAAACACAGGGATCCCACCTGAAACTCAGCCCATGTCATGCCACTTACTAAAATTAGTCACCTCTGTGCAAGTGACTCACTTTGATACAGTGCAGAAGCACATGAGAAGACACGACATGTTGCACAGCACCAGCTCATTATCCCGACTCATCCCAAATGACGTTCAAGAAGAGAAATTACTTCTGAATGAAAAATGTTTTTCTTTAATCAAAAAATTGAAAGCTTCTGTCCTCTCTACCAATTTGTCCCAGCTCTATTTTGATCCACGAGTATATTAAAACGAGTGAATCTTCACGGTCCAAAAGTTGGTAAACTGTTTTGGCATATCATTTCATATAACATTTTTTGATTAATGACATCACAGTCATTATAGTTGGAGTGGAGTGGCAAATGTGATAATTTTGGATACAGTTTTCCATGTGTGTAATGGGAATAGAAGCAACCAGTTCTACAGGACTTCTGTTATGATAAATATATGAAAAGACAGAAAAGTCCTCAAATGCTACAAGGATAGTACTGATGACAAACAGGGACAAAGCTAAAAAGACATTACAGAATAACGAGTTGATTTCAGTCAATGGAACAGGTTCCCCAGGGAAGTGGTCAGAGCACCAAGCTAGAGCTAGTCAAGGAGCATCTGGGTGATGCTCTTAGGCATCATATGATTTAGTTTTAGGTAGTTTTTGAGGAGCAGGGAGTTGGACTCTGATCCTTATGTGTTCTTTCCAACTCAAGTTACTCTATGATTCTATGATCCTTCTCTGTGAACCTCCTGTAAACATGGGATGATGCTTTCACACAATCTTGGGTTTTCCAGGGATTAAGAGGAACAATATTGTATTTTCAATTAAAATAAACGATTCTGAGGAGAATTTTAAAAAGGAGGTGTATTCCTGTGTTTTAGTGTTCTGTATCTGGAAGCTTTACCATCCATTGGGCCAGACTGCTATGAGATGGCATCTATGTGATCAAGGAAGTTGAGATATTTTTCCAAAGTGAAATGGTTAATGGAAGGTATTCTCACTGAAAATGGACAGAGCATAAAATCATGTTGTCTACCTCGTCTTTTCAATGTGCAGCTCAGAGTAGACAAAACTGAGACACAGCTCCTTCCTTGGCTACCTCACCTTTTATTTATTTTGTAATACTTCTCAAGTTTTCCAGCAGATGCACTTAGGCAAAGTAGTGAAAGAAACTAGTTACTCTTTCTATGATGCTTTTCAATTTCTCCTCAAATTGGGAACTTGCTGGAGTAAGTGAATGCTCTCTCTGAAGATTCTCAGAACAGTGTCTGTACCAGTTCCCCATATTCGTCATCCATATAGCAATATAGCACAGCCAGCATAGGAATACTGGAGTGTACTTTTAGTTTGGGCTGGGAATAAATGATTTAACACCTACTCTAAACTCCTGCACACATCCAATGTGATAAAACAGTAACATCTGAAACTATATATACATCAACATACATTTGTTCAGGATTGTATTTAATATTTGCAACACATTAGCATGAGGGAGCATTCCTGTCCTGACGTTTCCCACCTAATTCCAGAATGGACTTAGAAGTCATGTTTATACATCCTCTTTGCAGAAAAAAGTTCATTAAACTGTGAACTCAAGAAGAAAAGGCAACTTTCTTTAGAACACACTACAAAATCTTTTTATGAGTCATCACCATCAGCTGCAAGTTTGAATTCCAAACAAAATTGTAAAAAAAAAAAAAAATATGATAAATGCTACCTAGGTACAGGAAAAATGTGCTTTGGGGCATGAGAATTATAGTAATTCAGATGCCAGTAGGTCAATCATCAATATGTAAGTGTTAGTTGCACCAGATTAATGAAGCATTTGCAGTGTTTGCCCAGATCCACTTTTCCTTTAAGCAATTTATCAATTGTAGCATTCTATTAAAAAAAAGCTTAACAAATTCTGTTTATGCTTGTTTTTTCACACTACTATTGTAATCTATATTTATTTAAATAGTGTTCCTCATTTCTGACATTCTCCCTGAGGCTTGAAGAACAGGTGTTCAGATATAGCTCCAAGCTGTCAAAAATAAAACTGGCAATGATTTTAACAGACACAGGGCTGAGGAAATAAAAGAAAGTTGTAATTTTGAAAAATGAAATGCCACACAGGATTTGTTAGACTACATCATTATTGCCCAGAGGATATCTTTATTCAGATTTCGTCATAAACACAAAATGGGATTACGGTCATGGTGGGACTGATAATGGAGACTTGGATTTGAGTTCTCCTGTCTGAAGTATTTCTTTGCAAACCTAAGGAAAAAAACAACGGATCAGACCCTACCAAGTTTGTTTTTATCCCTCTCCTGAGCTCAAAATTCGGGGAACACTTACTCTAGAGAGACCACTTAGATAACCTGCTGTGGGAAGAGCACATTGTTATGTAGCATTTTTCCACTTTGTCCTCCTGACTGTCTGGATAAAAACTAACATGAGGGTGAATCTTTATCACTTACTTTCTCATTGAGCTGCAATGCAAGTTTATTGTGTAGCTACTTCACAGAATCTTACATACATGTACTGGAACAACATGAGTAGATGTAACCTTTTATTTGTAGCTATCTGTTCCTTCTGGCAAGTTCCTACAGGTCAAGTCTTTTGCTGCTCAGTCAAGTAAGTTTGTGTAGATTCAGGAGCAAGTTCTGATCAAGGCTAGAGAGGCACAGTTACTTCATACTTTGGCAAAAATGACAAAAAAATTAAATCTTTGAATACTTTTGAGGAAATCACTGCTTCTTACTGGCTAAGTCACCATCAAGTGTTGGCCTATCTTAAGAGCTAATCAAGATGAAGGAAACACATAATTTATCATCCTTCTAAATACGATATTTTTAAGAGAAAGGAGACCTTCAAAAATACTTTGTGCAAAACCACCAAGTGACAGTAAAATAATTAATATATTCTACTGCTGACTAGAGAAATGAAAGATAAATGGCTTGTTGTTTTTTATTTTTTGTATCTAAATGGTTTCTTATATGACTTCATTATTAACTTCAGAACAAATTGCCTACTGCAATCTAAACTACAAGTGCTATAAGCTGCAATCATACAGCAATAATTGATCACACAGTGCTTCCCTTCAGTGTTTAGGAAAACAGAAGTGACTTAGGGCATGACAAACAGGTAGGCTGATGCATCAGTCTTGTGAATAAATGAAGCCAGGAGCTGACACACCAATGTGTAAAAATCTGGCAAGCTGCTAACACTTTGCTCATACCACTTGGGAATTTCAGTACTTCTGCTCAGAAGCAGCAAAGCAGTAATTGCATAGATCCACCTGTATCAGTTCCAGCAAAGGCCATCATGTGGAACTTCACTCACCTCCTCTAAAAAGAAGGAAAACCTCTCACTGGCACATTCCTGGAGAGGTGGATTTCCTGCACTTTATTTTTTGAGTTGTGTCTACGTGTATTACTGTATGCAAGCACTATAAAAGTGTAAAAAGTAAGATCAGTGAGGTTTGAATTGAAAAGTGGGACTGAAACAATTCAGAACACTGAAACTGGGAGGTCACATTTCTCATCAGCTGCAGGAGACACAGAGCCAGAAGCTACTGATGCTGTGTGCTCAAGAAACAGGCATACTGAAAAGAATGCCTAATTGGAATCATTAACTTATCATCACTTACCTGTGTTAACACAAACATAATGGAAATGTAGCAACTGCTGTTAACGTCAGGTTGGTAATTCCTCAGTGAGCCATCTTCCAGGGAAAATAAGACATGCACTGCAGAAATTGACTGAAGATGTCTTCTTCAATCTCAGAAAAGAGGACTCAACCTGCTCTTCTTGGCTAATTAAACTGATTAGCTCTTCCTAGATGAACACATATACTGTACACACAGACACCCTCGTGTCTTGAACACAACACCCTACAGGATGACTACGAGACCTAAACCAGTGAATTCTTACAGCCACCTGTGATGGGCTTTGCAGAACAGTTCTATTTGTTCTGTTATTCTGACTGAATGTCCACTTTCAGAATAAAGGCATAAAAAATGAATAAACTAACACTGTGCTTATTAACAGAACGGCATTTATACCCTTACACTTCAGTGCAGCTACATAGAAAATATGAAGATCCCCAAGGCAGCACAGAGACTTAAAATGCTCTCCACAAAATCCTATGCAGTCAACAAACCCCATATAAACTAAAAACCTCTAGAAGTAAGGACAAAATGTTTGAGAGCTTGAAGGCAGACATTACAGACAAATTAGTTACAGCAGGGACTCACTGATGAAATACAAAGGCAATTTAAAAATCATGCTCCTGGCACTGCTGCCCCTCACACCTGTGGTGGTTTTTTGCTGGTGTTTTTTTTCTTCTTTTTCCCCTTTACAAAATGTCTAATCTTTTACATAGTGAAAAAATGAAGCTCAGAACAGGGCACAAAAATTATTTGCTAGGAAAGAAGTATGTGCTCTTTTTGAGCATAAATTGTCAATTTTTAGGACTACAATCATTGCTGTCTCTTAATTGTCTGTCAAAAACCAAGGTTAACTGCTACTCTGCAATAAGGGGAAAGAAAACTACATCTTAGATCTTGATAGTTCATGTAATCAAATCCTATTTTGTGAATTGCCTAGAGTTCTAAAATGCCCCAGCTTTATAAACTGAGTTTCATAAACTGTAAAAAGAGGAAAAAAATTGAACACAATCTTTTGCCTATTCTCTCAATTTTGGGTATCAAATCACTTTACTGCTGTGAACTGTGTAACATCAGTGTGTGTTAAACACAAAAGCTTCCAAAAGGGACTGGCTGAAATCTGTGTTTTTGAGGGCTGGCAAACAAAATCTAAAACTACAACTGAAAACTGGGAAAATGCTTTGTGATTATGGAAACAGTGAAGTTCTCACAGAATAAAAAAATGAAGTTGACCATTGTCAATTTAAAGCTAAGAAAAGGTACTGCTACTTTGCCTCTTTTTTTTCCTTATATCTATTTTTCCATTTACTGTGCGATGTTTAGACGATAGTTAATTTTACCAAGATACACATACATCTGCTTTGTGTGGATTTGTACTAGTTGTGCCATGGTACTATTTACACACCAATGTCATGTGCCATGTGATCATGTGGGACATTCTGTCCAAGAAGCCAAAGTCAACCATTTTGCATTTGTATAACAAGTATCATCACAGCTTCTGTTCAACAACAGACTACTACAACAGTCATTACCATATTCACTGCTCCCATATTAACTATCTGCAGACTAACAAGAAAACCTCAGGACATGCAGCTATGTTTAAAAGACTAAAGATTCAAGACTATGTATTTCCTCATATTTATTTTTTAACTGTATTTTTCTAAAACATATTAAAATAGAAAAGATGTTCATCTGATTCATCATACAAAGAAAATACCAATAACAAAATAAGTAATAAAATACTGAAATATATGAAAGCACCAAAACATTAAAATATTCATATTGGCAAAGACTCTTAAGAATATATTTCTTGCAATTTTACAATAAAGTGCTATTCAATCCACTCCAAATTAGGAATTGGTATTTTAATAGCGTGGTTATTATTATCTTAATGTTACAAATTACTTCGTTACCTTTCTCAATAAGACAACAACCCATTTTTTTGGAAGCAAAGCATTTGAGTTGCATGCACATGAAAATAACCCAAGTAACAGATTCATAATAAGCAGTGAATAATATAAATTGCCAACTCACTAGGAAAACAAAATACGGAGAAACAAACTGAACAGAAATGAGATTAGTGAAAAATGAAGAAAATGCAGATGTGGTAAAATACTGTATAAATTAAGGAAGAACAGAAGACTCTGCACCAAACATTTCTGTAATCTTTCTTTTTAAATAGTATTTTTTTTAGTAATCACATTACTGGCTTTTTAGTTAATCTGTTTATTAATGCATTATTTTAAACTGCCCTTTTCTATTTCCCAGAGATGATCCTAGATCAACAACACATTGTAAGCAAAATGACAGAAGCAGAGTATGATCTTTATTTTTCCTCAATAATTGCTTCTCATCTATTGAGGTCAGCAGACAAAACTAAATGATCTGTTACAAAGCCAATTTGTAGCAAAAATTAATTCTAGTAATGGAATTATTTAAAGTTTTTTAATCTCTTTAAAAGTGAAAATTTTAAATGTATGAAAGATACCATCAGTCTCCTTTTAAGTTTTCATCATCTCAATATACATATTTACAGCAACGAATACAAAGAATTCTTGTTAACCAAGTTCTCACTAGCTTCAAACACCATTTTCACAAGTTTCTGTAAAATGGCAGATATAATACTTTTATGTTGCCTTCTACACTACTTAATTCCTGATTTGACTGGCTTTCTTCATAAATTTATCTGTAATTTAACCATATTGCACAACTCAGAGTAAGTTCTTACACTGACTATTTAATAGCCTTTTTATGAATAATAATAGGCCATCACAGTCCAAAAGGCAACTCTCACACTCCTTCTGCAACTTGAACACAAGTTCCTTTCAAAAAAAAAGAAATAATAGGAATAGTATCTTGTCTGTACGTTACTTGGTAAGAAATATTTACAGTAACTTTGCATTCAGAAGAAGCAAAATAATAAGGAATTTAACCAATGAAAGCAGTGAGTCTGAATTACTAACAACAAATATCTTCCTTTATATGTGCATGTACACAGATTATATAAAAAAATCTGCCTGTAGTACATAATGCCTGTAAATTTTCCTGAATGAACAGATTAACCTTAGAATACATTGACTGCCTATATCTTCAATGAGTAATTCAGAATGTAAGAATGAATATGACAAAAAGAAATTAAATACTGTATTCAAAGTAGTTGAAAAGAGGAAAAAAATCTAAACAGCTTAAATATTGTATGTGGTTTCCTCCTTCCAGTTCAGTAGTTTTTATTGAGTTGTACAGTGAAAACAGGCCCTAGCTCTAACATCTTCCTCACACCCTATTCTAAGTGTCAGCTTAGACAGTGATTTCAGTAATTTCATTTGCTGGTCATTCATTTCTTCTGTTTTTTTGTGTGTGTTTTTGTTTGTTTTTTTGTTTTGGTTTTTTTTCCCCAGCAAACTGTATTCTTGTTCATTGCTGTAGGCTCACAAACCTCATTTTGGCAGGTCCAGAATCCGAGTGTAGCACTGCAATCTCTTCTACTCCAACGCACCATGATAGGCAGCAGCACATCCAGGGCACAGCAACTCTCTTTAGCTTCTCTGGGCATATGCCAGGTAGAAGCAGAAGGCAGAGACAGTAACTGATAGCAAAGATAACACAACTGACAACTGCTGGAACCAGAGGCAGCGATTCATCTGCTCGTCAAGTCTTTTATTAATTTGCAGTAAACGAGTTAGCTGAAAATAGAACAGTTTCATTAAATTAGAATTACCGCACATGAAAGTACTCAGTAGTTTTGAGCTATTTAGGCATTAACTCTAAGCACAGAAAGAAAAAAAAGACTTCTCACAGTGATTCCTCAGCAATACCTTTTCTATCACTACATACTTCAGGAATCTGTTCCGTAAAGGAGCTTCAAATCTTAAGTTATGGGTAACCCATACGACCTGTATCAAGCAGGTGACATCTTTATGCTATGAAGCAAAAGATACCACTGAGGCTCTCTGGTACCCCACATCTGTACATACATAGGAGGAATGAGCAAAGTGCATTGAAAGTAGCATTTTATTAAACCACTGTCATTCACCAAAGTAATTAAATCACTATCACTGATTTAGTTACTTTCAACTGCTGAGTTTTTCAAATAGTATCATTTAGAACATACCAAAAAAGTTCAGTAAAAATTCTTTTTATCTTTTAATTTTGTTCAATATGCAGCACAAAGGAATACAGTAGTACCTGTACATGTAAATCTTCATTTGTTTTTGCTGGAACATTAAATGCATTGTCTTTTAATGTCAGAGAAGAAGGTTTACTGCTTTCTATGACATGACACCTGAGCCTGTGAAAAGGGAACAAAAATACACACTAAAAATCACAAATTTATTGCAACATTGTATAATTAATAATAAAAAGTCTATCTAAGAGTTATTATATGCTCTTTATTATCTGTTCTGGTTGAATAATTTTTAAAATGACTATTGCAATGATAACCTGAAAAGGCTTCCTCAGTTCACTAATGACATTTTGACAGCTTTTGATCTAGAAAGCAAGAGCACAAATATCTGTGTGCTCAGTTAAAACATAACTTCACCTATGTTCCATCACTTTGGTCCTAGGGACATCTTTCCAAAACTGGGTCAGTTCTGGTGCACCTGCTCCAGAAGACTGATCCATTTCTGCTGCCATTATAAGGAAACGATCCTGCAGAGAAGCTGAAAAACCTGCCCTCAAAGAAGAAAAAAAGCCAAATCAATAAATGTGTGCTTAGATGAAATGACAATATCACAAAGAGTATAGAAGCATTTTGAAAGTGCTATAAAATGAGAGCTGGTTGATTGCAGGACACCAGATAGTGACCTACTAGAAATAAAAATAACAAAATCATTCTCTAAAGCTCAGTAATTTTGATTACAGTTTTCCCAAAATTATATAGTTTTAACAGAACTAGTTTTATCTGAACAATTCAAAGACAACCCAGAATTTTGTAAAGAACGAATTCTCCAGTAAATTCACCTGTCCTTGCAACAATTTAGGAAACTGATTTACTGCAGATAAACTCCCACTGTATCAGTGAACAAGTGAGACAGCTGCCTATCAGACTTTTTGTTCTTTAAGACAAGAAACAGAATGGGCTGAAGATAACAGCTGCTTATGCCTAAGTGGAGTAGTAAATCAGTATGGGCAGGTACTGAAATGCTTCCTGACACTCATGCTTTTTAAACAAATAGTAACATTCTCAAACAACAGTCAAGTAGACACAGGTGTCAGTCCATCTTACCCACTGGCGAGCACATACAAACATCAGCATCTAGAGCATCAGTCTATTAATAGAACTTGTCCAGATTTCTTAAGAGTGGTATCAAAAATTTTTACTTACCACCATGAAGAGAGACTATTATATCCAATGATGTTCCAGGTTCACAGCTGCTGTTACTGGGTTTAACCCTGTATTTTTCAGGAGCAGTTGTTCTCACCTATAAACAAGAAAATGCCAAATAAACATAGAGTAAGTGCACGTACAAACTATAGTTGGTTCACAACCTCCCTCATTCTTTAATTACTAAATCCTCAAAAGCTTGAACATTAGAACAAGTCTCTAAAATACATAATTTTGTACGAGTAATAGGATCCTGGTATTTGACTTTTTCCTCCCCCTCAACCACTTTTATCTTTCTTTTCTTGCATTTGCTATTTTAACTTTGCATACATATTTAAAAACAGCCAACAACATTAAGTGGACTACCTGTTATAATTTTTAATATGAAATATGGAAACTTTAGTTACTTGAGTGCGCAGAGAACACAAAATATGGGAAAAAACCCCATAAAGATGCAAGTCAACTCAGAATTTCTGAAGCAAACATAACTGCATTCATTATTTTGATGTTGACATTTGCAAATGGATCTCCATCATTCTGGAGCATTACTAACTTGTTTCCAGCCAATATTTAAAAAGAAGAAAAAGATGACTTTAAAAGAGCTCAAGGCTTTCTTCTTTAGGAAGTATTAAACTCTCACTAAGAAACTAACCATCACTATAGCTCTTTCCCAGTCAGTGCTCCAAAGATTTGTAATAATGATTATCCCCTTTGAGATGGCACATTGTAGGCATAAATTCAGCCAGAAGATTTCTTTGATCTGCTTCAAACACCACAATAGAATAAAAAAATCTTGTCTGTCTAGTAGGTTTAATAGCATTTCTTCTTCCTTACACAAGTAAAAATTACACATTTAGTAAAGTAAAGCAAGCCACATATAAAACACTTACTTTAAAAGCCACTACATTTTTAGTGACATTTGTGAGAACTATCAAACATTTTTTCTCTCCAGTTTCTTTGGATCCAAAATATAGCTCTTCTGCGGGGCTAAGAGGAAATTTGAAAAGAATTAGTTTCTTCAAATTATCTTTACAACATCTCATCGAAAAAACCTGACCACACCTACAGGAAAATAAAATACTTTCAACCCTGCAACTACAGTCAGTATAAAAAGTTTTTCATAAAACAAAGCTGTGAAAAAACAATGCAGAAATTTTGTAGTGAAGCTCAGGGTTGACTCATGACAAGCGGAACTAGCTGCCTCAGCTGATTACTGCCCTTGACTTCTCCAATCTGGAAGGGCGTGACCATCCGCAACAACAGGAAGAGCCAACGTATATATAGAGTCAGCCACTGCATCTTAAGAGCACTATGTTAAGGGAGAGCACTGTTGATCTTAATTTATGCTAATTTTAAAGAATATAGGGTGTCACAGACAGGGAATAATTACCACCTTGTACATCTACCCCTGTACTGCATATAGTGCACTTGTAAGAGGCAGATACCTGCAAGTGGTAATCATTTCAACCACTACAGCTAAATTCACTTGTAATTATGAGTCAATCTTTGCATACTTGTGGTGTCACATGCATAAATAAAGTTACTGCTTATTTTTAAATATTCTTATGCAATTAGAAGAGTCATGCATGAAATATTTTAAACCACATCAAACACAGCTCATTTTGGATAAGCATTCAAATGAACACTACTAGGCAAAAGGTAGGGCATGCTCATCTAAGTTGAAAGGAAACTTGAGTTACAAGTCAAAATCTTTCTTTCATTATGTCACATTAGGAGCACACAAAGAACTGCTGTACTGTGCAGTGCTACAGAACTACAGAATTTTTAACAGAAAACCTTTTTCAAAAAAATATGGGTTTTTCCCCACATCTTCTTTTTAGAATGCCAATTTCATGTTAGTTTGACCTCCTCCTCAAAAGACCTCCATTTTATAGTACAAATCCTTTCTTCTCTCATTTAAAATCAATCAGTGTAACGGCTGAGAAGAAAAACCCTTGGTGCTGTAGGGCAAGCCTGAATGCCCGTGGTGGAAGTGGATTCCAATGGTAACTGTGCACGTAGGGGGTGTTTATGTTCTACAAAGCAGTAGACAGTCCACATGACAAGAACTTTTTTTTTTTTGGTGTGGAAGAAGGAAGTGTGCCAAATAAGGCAGAAACAAGAAACTGATGGGTTTAAAACAGCTTCATAGGCAGATTCTATCTCCTCATCCTCTCAGTATTTTTTTCATTTCCAAATTCTCAACTTCAGTAACCAATGAACACGAGGGAGGGGTAAGGATTGTATCTACAAAGTTTTCTGGCTATCTTAATACTACACTAGTGCACTGTACATTACAGCAGTTGCATTATAAGCCATAAATGAGACAGGAAAACATTAACTGGCATCAAAACAAATCACAAAAAGAGATCATTCTGCCAGAACCTGATCTTTCTTGTTCTACCACTGTGGCTATTGGTCAAAGGAAAAAAAAAAAAGGCTTGAGGGCCACTACTCTATAATTTTTGTCTGAAATCAAGCAGTTCCACACTGTTGGGGGTGGGTGAGGTATAACTGTTAGGAGGGTAGGTTATTTAAACAAACACCCAGGTTTTTTAAATTTCAAAGAAACACTACTCTGATGTGTGTAGTTTAACCACTTCAGCTTGTACTAGAAATTCTCGTTCCAAAAGACACCACATGAGCTGGTCTTTGCCAGACAGTGCACATAAATGGCTGCTTTTTGCTGTACCAAACAAAGTCATTTATTGAGGAGGAAAAGCAGAGGTCAGCCTTTCATTGTACGGTATGCAAGGCAAACACAACAGTGGCCTAAACGAGGGAATCAGCTCTGTGAGTGTGACTACAAACACAAAAGAACACAAGGACCCAGCTTTGGCCACAATTTCATGGTACTAGAGCTGCAGTGCCTCAGCTTCCTGGTAGGCTCCAGGGGCAATGGTGGGATCAGCAAGGAAGGAAGTTAATCACAGTGGCAGAGCTTCTAGTCACTGCAACAGGTGCCTGCAGCTGGTTATAAATGGCACTACATATTATCAGTTCAATCCAACTTCAGTATCCTGAGAATCACTGCAGGGAAAGGAAAACTAGTTCTGGTTTCTACAGAGGTAGAGCACTGATGAAGAGCAACAACTGCACTCAGGAGTCTACTTTAAAAACAAAACAAACAAAGACAATGGAGGTACCAACATTTTATTTTCCATGACTGCAAGGCTACAAGTATTAACACCCTTATCCTCAACTAAGTTTGCTCTTCTATGTAATTTACATGAACTGCAACCCTTCTATTCAAGGGTAGCTTGAAATATTTTAAGAATAAAAAAAAAAAGGTATGTGTGCAGGGGTTGGGTGTTAGTTTTGCTTGTCTGGAATTTTTTTTGTTGTCTGCTTATGATATTTGCCCCTTTTTTTTAAAACAAAAAGTGGATGGAAGAAGACAGCTCCTTTTGTCATTGTCCCAGAAAAATTTTAACATTCTTTTAAAATCACAATTCTGCTGCCTATGCCTTTGTCCTGCCATACAAGACACTACAGCTATACAGAGGAGGTTTTTCCATTTCAAAATTAGGAAAAATGTACACATACAAAATAATTTTTATGCTAATGAGCATGTCATTATTCAAATTCATTCCAAAACTAATTCATTACAGCACTTAGAAAATTAGCTAAGAAATTACCTAAAAATTAGATATTTTCTTCATTCATCTAATAGCAAACTGTAAGTGAAAATAAAAGTTAACATCTAAATTAAATTCTAAAAAGCACCTTGACCTGAAAGGCAGTGAAAAGAAAAAGTGATATTGGCTAATTAATTTCTTTTTCCTAGTTTAATGATAAAAAGCAAATTAACTGCAAGATGTAAGCATCTTTGATGACAAAGACTTCTGGGCAGATGTGCCATTTATATAGAGCACTCTCCACACAAAATAAATTGGACTCATTCATTAAGTTTAAGTGGTGCATTCTACTAGTATAGACATTTATACCATCTTAAGGTAAAAGAATTCAAGCAAGATTTAACAGTGAAAGCTGTCTTGGTAAAGCACTGTTTTTCTTCAGCCAATGCAATCAAACAATGCCAAACCACTGCTCTCATTTACAGATAAGCACAGGTTTAACTAAGTCAGATGGTTTCTCAATAGAAATGAAACATGTCTACAATTCAGTGAAACACACATTTATTAGTACAAAAAGCATGCCCACGGTGACAAAAAGATTCACTAAAAACATGTAAAACCAGAAAAATTCTTTAAGCTTTGTAAAAAGTCTTAAAAAGATGCTTATAACTTGTTTTCCTCTAATAGTCTGAAAAACAGTATATTTTGAAAACCAACTAGTTCAGTACTCAAGTGTCCAAGGAACATTGTAAAAAATTATTATTACCTGATATGTAATAAAGGTCCTTTAAAAGTGGTTAATGCTTTCTTTGCATTTTTTGGTTTGACCTCTGTTTTGTCAGTTTCCTCTGATTTGGAAATCTGTTCTATAGAATTCATCTGAGTAAAAATGATAGTTACAATGATTAACTAGCAACCTGGATTAAACATACAGAATTATGCAGATATTTCAAAGAATATAAGGAGGCTTATTTCAACAATTTATATATTACAGACCAAGCTTAATATGTATTCATTCCCCCAAGCTTCTTGAAGTCCACTGAAGAAAGTGATTTGCTATAGAAGTTACATAACATCATAAACATGCATGAAAGAAAACTTATGCTTTGTTTTTTCCCCCCCATGTATTTTCTTCATGCCTAAGCTGGCTTTTGAAAACTGCAGACATGCCAAGTTTTAAGATTATAAAGCACTGGTATTATTCATCCACTGCAAAACTTTTCAGTTGAAACAGACGCCCCAATATAATCACTGCAACACTGAACAGAAAACACAGTAGCAATTCCACACTTGATCACATTGCAGAGTTGCTAAACATATCTTCATTGCTTTTAGATGAAACACTGAAGTATTGCAGAACATAAAACAAATAATGCTGATTGAATTGGTGCATCCAAAACTGCAGGTATCTTAGGTTCTGAGGGTTTTCTTCTATAACATTAAGAAAATACATGTCAGCAGGCCTGGACATCTTACTACCACAAAAGAAAATAAACAAACCAAAACAAACAAGGAAAAAAAAAACAAACCAAAACAAAAAAAAGAACTCTGGACCTCAGGTGCAAGGGGGAATGCAGAAAACTGAAAGAATTAGTGGTATCATGATTCAAGTTCAGCTGGCTGAAGAGTTTGCTTAGCCTCCTTTTTATTCCACTTAAAATACAGAGAAAAGGCATGAAGAGAATTTAGTTCATGCAAGTTTTAAGTACGGCAGTAAGAGAAAGCAAAATTTTATATTCTTTATAAAAAAACCCACACAAACTTATTTTATAATTATATAAAAGTCATAGTAAAAGGTTAGTGTGTATATATATATAGTGCACTAGTTATATGCTGGGATTTGTTCTGTGCAAATCACCAGAGGAAATATAACCACAGAACACAAAGGTGGAGGCATCTACTGCACAGGCACTTTCTAATTACATTTATCACTCATGGTTCCCCGTACTCTGTGGAAAGACGTAGGTTCTTCTATGGGATAAGAGGAGGCTTACATATATTAAATTCTTAGGGGACAAGAGTCTGCAAGAAAAGATCTGTAGTACAGAAAAATGAAGATAATGATATCTCACAGATCAGTTGAAACACACTAATATTGAAGGTGACCTTACTAAAAATTTGAATATTTATATTTAGATATATAGATAGATATTAGTCAAGTAAAAGTAGTTAACTTGGAAATAAGAAAAGTCAACCATTCTGAGACAATAAGGGAGTATTTTTAAAAAACACATTTTAGAAAAGAATGTAACACTAAAGCAGTAAGCAATAGTGTACTTGCTGTGGAAGACTTAGCAAGTATTTTTAAATATGCAAACAGAAGAATTGAGTTTAAGGAAAACTACCTACTTTTTTTTTCTTTTTTTACAGAAACAGTACCAAAAACTAGATTTGACCTGAAATTTTAAAAGTGTGTTAAAGGTAAGGTATTAAAAGTGCCTTAATGCTAATTGACGTGTGATGAGCATAAAAGTCAATTGCAGTTCACTGAAAAAATTGAGTAGCAACTTGATTACACTGTATAAAACAGAAAATAATTATTTGTTTTACAGTATTTCAAGAGTAAAAAAAGTAAAATAAAGTAAGTAGAAAGCTAGTTTGTCAGGGAAATTAAAAAAAACCCAACAAACACCAAGGCTTATTAAGCACCAAAGGCAACTCACACACTGAACAGGAGTTGCCCATATTTCTGCATCAGAGAATCAAAGCTTGAAAAATATGCTACAAGCAAAAGAAGCTACTGAGTTGAATGGTCAGGAAGTCATCATTGTTATGCAATGCTTCCTTTTGACCTTAAGGTCAGTGAAATTATCTTTTTTCTTTTGAAAAGCTGGCCAAGCTGCAAAGAACAAATGGATTACTTCATGTGCTGCATGTTTCAAATTATTCTGACAAACTTGGAAGAGTAAATGAAACTGAAAGTGTAAGTATTCTATTCCATTAAACAAAAGTTTTGCTATTCCAAAGTTAATTATGGCACTAAAGTGGTGAATTTAAAATTTTCCTACTATTTTAACAAGCAATATCCCAAGTGATTATCACTGCATACTCCTAAACAACACTTTATGTGAACTTGTAGCAAAAAAAAAAGTAAAACAATGCCTTTATTTCTGGATAAACAACACTGCAAGAAGATTTTGTTGTAAAACAGGAGTGATGGAGTAGGAATACAATTTCTCCTGAGAATAAATGAAAATGTTTATACTTTGGGATTTTATCAATAATTTAAGAAAAAAATTAACATCCAATAAAGTATAAATATTTAACAATATTTTCTCATGTACATACTGATTTAAGCAACTCAGAAAACTAGATGTATTTCAAGATGTACACCACTAAATATCCCAAGATTAAAAATAAACCAACAAGAAAAACATAACCTTTGAAAACAAAAGCATAAACTTCTTTTTAACTTTACAATACAATTCACTATGTTCCAAGAGATAGACTAAATATTTGGTACACATTTTATACACTCTCAAGTATCAAACTTGTCTTAACAGACTAAGAGTCAAGGCTAAAATGTGAGTATAATCTTTCAGTTTTACGAGTTTCTTTAGTCAAATTTGAAGATAGAACAAAATGTTAAAAAAGTCGAAACAAATACCCAAAATTATATGCCTCTTGTCCCACTTTGTAAACATTTAGCTAGTCTTGCCTAAGTCTTCATAGATACCTTTTTCTGATTAAGATTTTGCGCTTCACTGAGCTCCCCCGTCTCTTTGGTGTCTGCATCTAGCTCTTCTTTACTTTCATGCTCATCTTCATTAGTAATGGGCCCATTTTCACATAAAGGAGTTTGAAAATCATCATCAACCAATGGAGGATAACTGTACTTGAAAGAATCCTAAAAGATAAATATTTTTAAAGCAACAGTTGGTTATTTAGGAGTATGAGAAGTGCCTTCTCTAGGATTTTTCAAACAGAAATGCTATCAATTTTTTTATTTCACATTACTTGTATGTTTCAATTATCCATTTTGAATGGTACCACTGTGCAGAAAGCTGACACCATTAGTTTTTATTTTGCCATCAATAGACAAATACAGTCATCCAATGAAGCCAATAAACTGAAACTGTTATTTATAGTTAGAGCAGAACTGCAGAAGCTGGTCTATCAAGAATCAGCATTTGGAGTCTTACTGCTGAAGTTCTCTTCCTAGTTCTAGATGATGTGGTTTAAAACTTATGACAGCTATTACTAAAAACACTCCAAAAGTGATGGAAAACACCAGTTGTTCTTCCCATGTTAGTTTCATAATGGCCATTTTAAAAAAGGAAATAAAACCTCAAACCACAAGACAACCCCAAATAATCCTTGAACCTTAACCTAGTGTGTGGACCTTTAGCATATCCTCTGCGAGTCAGACCTTGGTCTTTGGAATGCCAAATCAACATAAAGACCATATTTAAGACATCTGAGTAACGTTGTAGCAGCATATTAGAAGTTCTCAATGACTACAGTAAAGGTATCTTTTCTATTAAAAGACCAGTAAAAAACCAGTTTTTGCTAACTAGAAATTCTCCTTACATTCTCAGAACAGGTTTATCTAATGTTAGAAACAGTGTTTAAAGAGGGATCTCTGTTCTTACTGCATTTTCGAACAGTTTTAAACTTCAAGTAAACTGAATTAGTCTGGCAGCTTTTCTAGTAAAAAAACTCCTAACGTAGCTTTGACTCTTGTGAGGCAGACTTGAGCAATGCCCACGGTTCCAAACTATGTATCCAGCAGGGAGTTACAAAGGTGTTCCAAAGGAGCTCTCCACAAGCAAGTACATTTTCTCAAAACAAGGAATAATGTGAGGTTGAGGGGAAAAAAAGGGAAAAATCTTAGATGGAACCATTCAAAGAAACTACAAACAAAACAGCATTCTTCCTATCATCTATAATAAAGATCTAAATCTCTTCTGTTCTTCAGGCTGTAGCAGCAGTTGAAGACCTTTAGGTCAATGAAACAAGTATCCACTAGCTCAAACAATATCCTATTAAGGACCTGAAGGACAAGCTCTAAGTATCACTTACAGACTAATCCACTATTAGAAGAAAAGAATCCAGATTGTTAGAAATACTGCAGTAGGCTTCCAGAACACTGGTACCCCTCCCCATTTGCAAATACAGGACAGAAATATCCAGCTTCCCCTTGGCCAAACTCATGAAAAGCCTTTTCACTCCCTTCTAGCATGTGATGAAGGGTATATGACAAAGTGACCTTAATAAAGGCAAGTTAATTTTGCTGCACACTTCACTTGGCCTCGATAATCCCTGGTACTGGATTGCTTCAGCAGCTGAAGTCTCATCACTGGGATAACTCAAAATCCCACGCTTTGCAGTCACAGCCTGTAAGTTTCAGTAACATGAGTTTATCTACTGAGAGGGTAAAAACCTCAGACAGGTAAACAAGACACATTTATCCCATGCTTGATATATCCATTCTATAGACTTACAACTCTCTTTTATCTTAATCTAAAAATCTATAGACTTTATATTACCATGTCTGCCAATTGTGGTATAGATATCTTCAACAGAGGAGTGATATTTTCTAAGATTACATGTACACAGTGCCCACGAAATCATGTGCAAAATGTTAGTCATGTCTCTATGTTAGTCACAACATATAAATGGTACTTTCAAGAACACAAGGTATGAGCTATTAATTCAGATACCCAGGTGAAGAGCACAGCATTCTAGTTGCAGACATTGTTCAATACTGGCACCAGTAGAGAGAATCTTGATCAATCCATCCTTGTTAAATCCATCTTCTGACAAAGGGCAAAACCACAAACTAAAAAGCCTATTGTGCGTACATGTCCTGTATCAGGGTGTACACTGTATGTACATCAGTCTTGCACAAAATGTTATTGAAGAGGCAATGAACCTCCCTGGTCAGTCAGCAGTGTGTATGCCTTAAGAACTGGGCTGTTCCATCATCCATATCAACTGGAAATGCTAGAATATGGGATACAATAGATCAGGAAACTAGGAAAACACTGCTTTAGTATACATTTATCAGTAAGTGAAAACCATTAGCAGGTGGTTTTTGAGCACCTAACCTTAATTTTCCAGACTGGCTAGCTAGATCTGTTTTGGGCAATTTTGATAAGCTCTCCAAGACAAATCTGCTATAAAGAGTATCTCTGTGCACTGTGGACTATAACAACTCAAAGCCAGATACACTGTGTGTTGCATGTATGGATTAGCAGTATGGTAACAGCCACAGTCCCGGTGAGGACTTGAATGAAACTTAAATTTCTATTCCAAAGTCCTTCAAAATCCAAGTTTGCTTTCCATAATTAGTGTTATTGCTTTTAATACTCAAGAGATACCTTTGTCCACTAGTTGTCTAAAATCAAGCATGCAATATTCCTCCTTTCTCAGCTGGTTGACAGTCAATTGAAGGATTTTAAAACTAAGGAAAGTCTCTGATTCATTTTTTCAGTAACCCTGAGTTAAAATAAAACATACTTAAAAGTCTCTTCACTGAGACACTGAAGGCTGGAGGCTTCCAATAGAGACAAAGAACAGTTCCTTTCATTAACAAAGTATCACTGACTCCAAGTTCAGCATTATTTATTTGATTTCCAAAATGGATTTTTTTTTTTGTTACTTCCAAAATTAGTCTCTAACATTCTTCTGGGATACCTAGACTCCACTGCACTTACGTTCTTGGTATCTTCCCAAAGTAACCAGCCAAAAGACCTGCTCCACTAGTCGCTTACATCTAGTAAGACCTGGCTCTTTAAAGATGGATTCTACTAGGGGACACAGCAGAAAGGGGATTAGAGATTTATGGCTACTGCCTTGAATGCAAGGGACACACAGATAAGCTGCACTCTTCAGCAGCATTATGGTACTTGTAAATATGAAGATCTGTTACTAAACATGAGGAAATCAAAGATGACAGAAAGAACTGGCAGCCCTCACAAACAAAACCAAACACCTGCGTGGAGAATTTGTGGCAGGGGAATCAATTTGTGCAGGTCAGATATTGTGTTTAAAAAAAGCCAGGCCTGACAACACTAATAACACAGAATGCACTCTAATTGCCTCAAGAGGAGCCAAGGTTAATCACAAAGAAAAGTTAAATTCTGAGAAAAGGTCATTAAATTGTCTGTTGTCTGGTCACTGAAAAACTCCTTGCTGTGAGAGATGCGAAAGTCCTGCCTTAGTGCATTCACTGAAGACATCTTCCAAAGAAAGATCAGGAGCACAATTTCCAGAGTCTCAGTTTTAGCTAACAATTCTTCCAAATTATGACAAGTTAACAGCTCAAAACACCCACTGAGTGTCTAAATAACAAAGAAACTCAGTAGTTAGATGAAGTATGTGCTGGTTCAAAATACAGAGCTTTTAATATGTAGAGATAGAGCTGTTTTTCTGAAATTGTCAAAACTCCTGGAGTCAAGCAACTTTACTCCTTTATTTCTGCCACTGGAACTTACTGTCCCAGGTAAATGATTTTGATAAGCTGCTTCCATGACTAGGAAAGTTGTTAACGCTCCCAGAAGATGGGTCATATAGAGCCAACTTGATCAATAATCACTAACTGGCAATGAGACCTTTCAGGGCCAAGGCAAGATTAGGGATAACTAAGATTGTGTGCTCAGTCAGATGCTTCACAAAAATATCTAACAAAGCCATAAATTCTTTCTTTGAACACGTAAATCTAAGGTAAGATGGTCTAAAAAGCAGACTGGAGATACTCAGCTCTAAAGAGGAAAGAAACCTGCCCCTCTATAGCAACAACAGGACGATACCATAGGAGCCAGGCCCAGAAACACTACTAAACACCATTCAATTCCTTACTGAAGCCACTTCAGTCATCATCACCTCTTTCCTCAATACCCACTCCTGAAGTATTGCTGAAGTACAGCAATTTCAGTTTTCTTTCACATGAGAAAGTTGTAATATAATACTGGGGAGTTTGGACAGCAATTTTCCAGTAAGAAAAAGGGTATCTTTTCTTCAAAAATCTCATGGAAAAGCACTTTCCAGAGGTTATTAATCTCAGTCAAATAAAAAGGTAAGGTAATTCCCAAGGTAACATCCTTTTATGTTCCCAAACAAGTTTCATATGCTCTGACCACCTGAACTTTCCCCTGAATTTATATACAAAGGAAGATGGCCTCTCCTACTATCCCCGAAACATAACCATTCTTTTCTCCATATTGTTACTGCCATAACATCAAAAATACATTAGTAAAGAAACTGTAGAAAGAGAACAATTAAAAGTAACTCCCCTGTAGTGGGCTTATTCCGCTACCATAAGTGGCCTACAAAAATTTTAAAGGAAAAAACATCCTTTTCTGCAAATTCAAATATAAATATTATGTAAACTAATCTACTAGCTTTGTGAAGTGAAACCTGTTGTGCAACATGCTTGTGCTGTTCTGCTCTTTAGATTGCACTGGAATGGGATTCTGGTTCTGCTGAAGTGATATGGCCTGTACCATTCACTTTAGAGCTTTACTGCACTCTTTAAAAAGAATCTTTTTCATCCATGTCTTAAAATGTAGCCCTGGAGACCACAAAGAATAACTGCAATATAACTGTCTTTAGTGAATCTTAGCTTTAGAGCAGGACAACAACCCTCAGAGGGCCATGAAACCTACTTTCTGTTCATAGAACTTGTTTAATAAACCAGTGCTATCTCTAATTCATCAGGTAGGAAAAAATAGAAAGAAGAACGACGTTTAGATAATTTTTTAAAAAAGGCCTGAAAAACTGTGTGGTTTCCAGTGACCTGTAAGTGGATGAATGATTCAGAAAAATTATTTCTCTGTTTAAGACTGTCAGATGCCAAATTCTCATGAAATTAACCTATTTCATATTTTCAAATTATCATTGGCAAAACAATTTCAAGACATTTCACATCTGTGAAGTGCCAACTCTCAACCCTAATATAGATGTCTCAATCTATCACAAAAGGGGCATGAAATGTTAATATACTCACAGTTCCACCCATGTGAGGTGGCAGATACTCTCCACTGATGTATTCCTGTATGTCACTCTTGTTTGTGAACTTTAACATGCTTATTGCATCTGGGCCAAGCCAACCCTTCACGATTTTAAAAGCAGCTTAAAAACAAAACAAAAGAAAAACCAAAGGATATACATAATTTGTCAGGAAAGGTTTGTTGTTGGTTTTTTTTTTTTTTAATTTGTGTTTGTAGGATGTTTTTTCTCTGTATTGGTAGATCTTACACAACACAGGAGAGCTACATCCTGTAAGATACTTTTCAGAGCAGGTTCTGTACTTTTATAATGGGGATAAACAGTGTAAGGAAAAGAGTATTTACAGAGAAAATGGAAAAAGTATCTTTGATTTAATAACTGACAGATTTATTGTCTTGGAATTTAGCCCAGGAAGTACTGAGTGGGTAAAACCAATGGTATTTCCATATCTGAGTGAGACAGGTTAGGAGAGAGAAGTATACACTCTTCCTACCTGAAATGTTTTGTTCATTTAAAGGACACTTGTTAAGATCTACAAAGTATTTTCAAACACCATTATTATTTCAGTGATGGTAAAACATGAATATACAGTAAAATAAAGCCAGTATAAAAATGTGTTCATATGGTAAAAATAGAGGAGTTAAAGTTTATTCTGTAAATTATAATTAAAGGTAATTTTTGAGGTACACATCTTAAAACAAATACAACCACATTAGTGTCCAGGGTCAGGCATCTATCTTAAATTGTGTATTCTAGTTTTCAGCTAGTTATAAGTGTCCATCATTTGCTAATGATGGGATTCCCTAAAGTATTCCAGTTGGAAACATTTAAGGATTAGACTTCTTTTCAAAGCCTCCCAGCCTTTAAAAACAATGCAATGAATATGGATTCCATTTGAAGTATGATCCAAAATACAGTGCTAGAAGGAAAAATAAAAATAAGCAATCTTCAAATTGACAGATTTAAAGATCCATGCTTAACAAATGCCACCATTCATCTGTATCTACACAGAGCAGAAAAATGCTTCCTATTTATGCTTCTACATTTTAAGAGTTCCCACAATCTGAAATGAAAAACAAACAAACAAACAAACAACTTACCGTTCATTATCCATGGCATTTCAAATATTACTATCTTGGCTGCAAAGAAAAAATAGAATCTGAATACCATGTGTTAGGTATTTCTCTGTTTAAGAGTAAGCACAGTAATAATATTAATGTAAAAAGCCAATATTCACTTCAGAAACCTCCATGTTCCCTTCCCTGTGAAAGCAATTTTGTATAATTGTTTTTAAGTTGTATAAGCCTACTGCTATTACTATATAAAAATATTGGCTGTTCGCTTGGAAAACATAATAAAATTTTAAGTTCCATACTGTTTATATACTTCCTGGGATATTACTTTTCTAACATATAGTTACTAATAACTGATCTCTCAAATAAGGCAAAGAATGGCAAGATCTCAGCCTGACCTAGAAAAGCAACTACTGAACAGGAACACGTTTAACTGGTATATTCAGCACCTCTTCTTCGTAAAGAAATAAGTACCATGAATCATTGCAAATCCATTTTTTTCAAATATTCCTTGTTTTAGCATGTAAGTTTGCAAATAGTTGGAAGTGTTCCAAAACTTCTCCTGAATGGCAAAAAAAAGAAAAACAATGTTGCACTTGCCTTGGTATTTGATCAAAGTTTTGAACTTTGATCAGCAAGTTGCAATCTAATATTCAGAGTTTAAGCAGTTTCTGTACAGAATTTCTATATTCACAAACACATTTTCATCTAAAATTTATAACACGTGTTAGCAACAGCTATTCCATGTTTACCTATCCATAAAAAAATTAGGAGGTAAGTAAGCTGGGTTATCCAAGTGCGCACACAAACATGCCTTACTTATTTTCAGAATAACCCATTGCTCCCTCAAATTTTTTATAGCTATTTGTTCTTCCCCTCCTGAAGAATCCTAAAGGATACAAACTGTCATGCAGGTTTGTAAAGCTTCTACCCAAGTACCAACAAAGAAAGGAAATAACAGGCCAATTCAGTTCTACTATATGTTTATATTAATTTTAATATGTAAAAATGTCTTAGATTATTACTTCATTCAAAGACAGATTCTTTGATGAATGTAAAGTTTATTTACAATACAAAGTTGTGCTCACTTATGGACACAAAAATATTCTCTGTAACATTGACATGTGCCATGCAGTTACCCCAGAAAGATCATGTAAAAACCTTAGTCTTCCCAATCTTCTGTCATATTATGAAATGTTCTTATAACAGAAGTCTAAAATGTTAATACTTAACATACAATACTTACTGAGGAAGTTTGGGTAATAATCTGTAAAACAGTTGACAATAAACCGAACAAAATCCAAGTCCTAAAGTAAAATCACAGCATAAATGCAATGTAATTCAAAACATTAAAAATACAGGCTTAGTTAAGAATACCACAAGACATACTGTAATCGAACATACTCTAATTTTCACATACTACAAACATCAAAATGCAATACAGTGCTTTTCACTTCATTAAACTGCTGCAGGATTGTGGTCAAACTTAGCTTTAGGACCTAGGAAAGAAGTCAGATGTGATGAGTGCAATAACTTAATTATCTAAACTACTGCAGAGTATCAACACGAGTTAAGATGTGCAGGAAAGGTAACCTTTAGCACTAGAGAAGCTCAACAGATTATCTTAAAGTATTACAAGGAAAAGCACTGAATATACCAAAATTTCCCTTCAATTGTTGTTTCACATTGTTCAGTATACTACTGCACTCAGTAGAATATTTCCAAAGGGAGGAAAAAAAAGTTTTCATTTAAAGAGGATCTTTTGTTTCAGTTTTAGTTTGTGGTATGCAGTGAAATTGTGGGCAGACACTTTCAGAAACAGTACACAAACATTTCTGACTGAGTATCCAAAGCCTGTTGTAACAGCAAAAATGCTATGGGGAATGGGCTCCTGGAGTGATGTAAACATACTATTAAAACATTTGTGGACAGGGGGGAAAAAACCCAAAATACCATGTAACAAGACAAGCCACAACATGAAAGTTTTATCAGTAGCTTCAGTAACTAGAAACTAACTGACAGCTTGGCATCTTTAGAGGTGGAAGGCAGCCTCTAATAGAGGCATTTATCTCAACTGTCTGTTGCTTGTACTAAATCTTTCATTTAACAACATAAACACAATGATGGATTCCAAAGTAATGATTAGAATCTCCATTAACACAGATGTTGCTCTCTATCAGATTATTAAAAGGACAGATACAGTATTTTGATGAAAGTCCAGAATTAGAAGTACAGATTTCACAGACCATTCAATAACTGCACCTATTCTAGTTACCTGACATGGTGCAACACGGTAGAGCTATTAGAATTATCAGCTGCATACCAGCAATAAAAGCCAACACAGTAGATGTCCATAGGAATGGAACAAAAAAAAAATGAGGCACACTCTGGAAAAAAACTCAGAAATCCCAGTTCTTTTAACATAAAACTTAACTACTCTACATGCCTATGAACAGTTATTAAAATACTCCTGTGTTCTGTGATAAATACACAAACTATAAAGCAAGACTGTACAGTAGGACACTTAGGGACAGCACTCGCTGAGATTGTGCCTCTGGGATTGTCAAAGACATGGGTAAGAAGCTGCTTCAAAATACACTCCATAAAACCTAAATCAAATTACAGTCCTTTATTCTTGTTATACAAAACCATAGCTCCAGTATTATCCTTAGGAGCATGGATAGACAGATCTCACAGCCCTGGTAAGAGTAGAAGGACTGATCCTCCCTTTCAAAATATTTATTTAGGGCCTTGAGGGAAAGCCATACCAGTCCTGGCTGAGGTCACTTGGTCTGTTCAGCCTAAAGAAGAGGAACTGAGGGGAGACCTCATTGCAGTTACAACTTCCTCATGAGGGGAAGTAGAGGAGCAGGCACTGATCTCTTCTCTGTGGTGACCAGTCACAGAACCTGAGGGAATGACCTGAAGTTGTGTCAGGGGAGGTTTAGGTTTGATACTGGGAAAAAGTTCTTCACCCAGAGGGTGGTTGGGTGCTGGAACAGGTTCCCCAGGGAAGTGGTCACAGCACCAAGCCTGAGAGAGTTCAAGAACCATTTGGATGATACTCTCAGGCATATGGTGTGACTCTTGTGGCTGGTCTCATGCAGGGCTCAGGGTTGGACTCAATGATCCTTGTGGGTCCCTTCCAATTCAGCATATTCTGTGATTTATCAAAATATCTTCTCATAAGCTTGTGACCCTGTGCTGCACAGCTGCAAGGTCTTAATGCAACACTAACTATCCTGCCTGAAAAAGGCAGAAAAAGTTTTTGGCTTTTTTGTTGTTTGGTTTTGGTTTCTTTTTCTTCTTATATTCCAATGCATTCTTGCCATACCAAACAAAACCAAACCAAACCAAAAAAAAAAAAAAAAAAGAAAGAAAGAACAAGACACAAGTTTTAGCCATTTCTGTAATAACAGGACAGTATGGCATTTGGTAAGAAAAAATTCAATATTCTATAGAAATACCATTTTTTTTGACCTACAGACAACCTATGAGATTTGTAGTTATTAGAATAAATCTATGAATATGTAATGAAAGGCAGAATCTCCATCTCTCAAGTTAAAACAGCTTAGATTCAGCTCGGTCACCAAACTAAAAGCAAGTTTTCCATGTGTTGCAGAAGACAAAGTTTAATATGTAACAAAATATTTTGGAAACTGCTCATGCCATGGAAAAAAGCCCAACATAACACTGATGTCAACAATCGTTATGTTATTTAGATGTCAAGGACTGTACAGAGACTTCCCTTTTTCTGGGAACATAGGTTAAATAACTGAAAAAGCAATCAGGAAAAGGCAATAAAAATACTTACTATGTGACTGATTCCAGTTTCAGCCATGTCAAATACCACTGTTAAGGGCTTTCCATGATCTCTCTTGGCATAATGTTCTAACCAAAATGCTACCAGTTTCTTTTTGTCAAGTTGTTGTTTAGGATCTCTTGTATGATGTTTCACTTTGAACCAAACTTGGAGAAAAACACACACAAAAATTGAGACAACAAATCCAAACCAAGAGCAAACATTATGCAAATAACAACACAGGACCCAGTGAAATCTATTAACACCTCTGAGTTTGTATTCAACATTTCTACTGAAGTTGTGGCTACTGAACAGCCAGAAAAAAAACTGCAAACCCCTCCGCATAACCCCCTTCCTTACTCACATTTTTACAACTAAACTTTTCAAAAACTGAAAACTCAAAGAATTACACTCCAGAAGAAACATTAAAAGTGGAAAAATACTTTTCATGCATTTAAAGACTACTTATTTAGATTACAATCTCATAATTTCAAATTAAATCACACAGTCCTACGACATAGTATGTTCAGCATGTATTTTATGTGCTGTTGTAAAATCTATGTTTCTTTTTCTATTTAGGTTTTCTACAGCATCGTAGTTGACGTGTTTCGAAAAACTACTTATATGTGCATTATGAATTGTATAAAAAGCAACTGATCTTTCTAAAATAAATTGAAAAATTCCAGAAGGTGAGCAATATTGTCTAAATGAAAGCCCAACACACACTCACCTGGAATAAAACACAATGAGTCATACAGAGACTTGTTTTTTCACAAAAAAAACCCACAAGCACAATTCAAAGTAACAGGTTTTATTAAAATGTCTTGAGACCAAAATATTGATTATACAGTGAAGTGATAAAAGAAATATTCAGGGCAGTAACATGAAGAGCAGCCTTCCTGTTTAGTACTTTTATGATATCAAAATTAGACGAGCCTGAAAGTAATTTTAGATATACTCTTAATATTATTCTCCCTGGAACTTAGAAAGTATCAGTGAAAATAAACCTGATTTCTCCTCCACGTCTTTTACTTCTGATTGCAAAAATGAAACAAAGTCATGTAAAGAAGCAAATATTTTAAAATGTTTTAACATTTAAATAGTATACTAACTAGACTAATTTCAAAATCTTTAAGAGAAACCCTTATTTAAACAGAACATACACTGAATTATTATATAAGTGTTTAAAACACACCAACAGTCCAATCTTTTACAGCAATGACTATTTCTGGAATTATAAACTAGCCCTTGTAAAAAAGGAAAAAACAAAATATCAGATTTAAATTTGGGGTTTTTTTCTCACCCCCAATGTTTAAGATGAGTTCAAGGTTCACAAGGCTTGGAAAGTGATTTGTTTAAAATTCCTTTTTTTGCTTCACAGGATTTAAGCTTAATTAAAGTAAATATGTGAGATGTTACAATAAATTTATTTATAGAAAATACTGACCACCTATTATACACTATTTAAAAAAATAGGAGTATTTCAGGTAATATTTATTGCATGCCTACAAATCTTACTGTTTCATTACTAGAAGTTAATCACACAACTTTGAAGTTCATTCTCCAACAATTCTCAGCTGCACATGCCATTTCTGAGTGTTCCATTGACATTAAAGAAAAATAAAAAGCACAAGAAAACCATTGCAGACCTTCCTGTGAGCCACTGCAAGTATAAAAGAACATGATCTGCTAGAAGACCACTGACAATGCACTACCATAAGGAACATTTATACTGGCCATATACCCACCACAGTGGATACAAAAACAATGAGCTTACACAGGAAAGTTAAAAACTGCATCATAAATAGGATGAAGGTTTATAATTTTTTAAAACTGCTGACAAAGTTTACCCATTCCCTTTCTGTGATCCAAAGAAATGCTCCAGGCAACTAACTTCTCATTTTTAGTAAAAGCAACTGCCAATACGTACCTACTTCTATTCTTAAAAGACTTATTTTTCAAAAAGATTCTAAAATGCCATAAACAAAATCATGATGAATGACTCAAATTATAGTCTGTATAACTTACATAATTTATAGCCCTCTTTATCGTATCCATGCAGGAAGAGTGCACCAATTTCAAATAACCATTTTGGAAGGACAGATTCTGACAAGTCTGCAAAGCCAAATGAAATATTATTTCAGTAACTGTATTAATAATCACATTGTAACTTAGCATGTTAAGTCTCTAAAAATGCAAAGAACCAGTTACAAAATATAAAAATATTGAGATAATTTGAAATCTCTATCTTTACCTGCTCACACTATAGAATAAGAGCTATTTACTGAGAAATAAGAATAAAATAATCTATGTAAGAAAAAAATGCTGCAAAATATTTATTTTGCTCATGTTTGCAGCCCTTCTCCCCTTGTTTTATCTTTTAATTCAGATTGTGAAGTTTTATAGAAAGAGCTCATCTTCAAAACATTCTCACAGCAGAAAAATGAGATCTTTTCTACTTAGTGTGCCAGAGTAGTGCTATTACAGTAAACCAGAGAGTCCTGTTTGCTGTGGGGGCTTTGTTGTTTGGTTTTTTTTAGGACTCCACTCAGGTAAATGCAAAGAGAAAAAACAAGATAGCTGAGTAAGAACTAAAAAAAAAAAAACAAAAAACCACAACTTGCAAGACCTCTAAGAGATGCTTAATGAAACTACCTATACAACATCAAAATCATTATATAAATGTAGCTTACCATTAACTGTATATTCTTTCCTCCACTGAAAGCTTTCATCAATCATCTTTAAAGTATCATCCACAACATCATGACGCCAGATCAGATAGTTTTCAACCCATTTATCATCTTGCTGAAGTCTTTCCACATCTCTAGAATCATATTTATCTGATTTATCTAGCAAATAAAAAAATTAGTGTAAGAACATAGCATTTCCTACAAAACCATGAAGAGATTTGTCAAGTGTATGTATATAAGTATCTAGTAGGTACATAAGATTTCTTTTGCAGTTTCAAATTTAAGCAAACAGGGTAGAGCATAATAAATTGATTAAAACCTGCTTTGATGCTATTTAGGGACACTACAAGACTACTCTCACAAGAAAAATATTTTCTGTGATTCCTATTCAAAGAAAAAACATTAGAAAACAAGAAGGTGCCTGTAGGACTGGTGTAGTTTTCCTAAAACCAGTTTTTTGTAATTAACATGAATTATTATAGTCTAAAAATCTCTGTACCGATGAATGGGTATATTAGGCATCACTAGTCATGCTTACAGGCATCAGCTTGTCAGACCACAAAATGTCAGACAACAATTGTTAAAATCACTATTTTTGACCACACACTATACATAACTGCATTAAACAAAATTGTTTTCTGTAAAAAAATTGCAGTTTCCAAATGTTATAAATTGTTACCCTACCAAACACCAGCTACATGAAACTCTACAGTAGTATAAAAGCCCGAAAGATTTAAACTCTTCTTGTACCACACTAGCAATGGGATAATAGCTTTAGGAAATACTTCAGATGAAACAGGAGTTGTTGTTGCTCTTTCTTTTGTATTTTTTAACAGGGAAGTTTGTAAAATACAAATGCCCAAGTGGAACCTATTCCTATTGTAGATATGCTTAACCAAACGCTCAGTTTTTAAAACAATGCTCCTCTGTCTGAGAAATTGGTATAAACAAAATGTAAATCAGAAGCCCGTGATACAAACAGGCTTCTGAAAGCAACAAGCACTGATACACATCTCTTTGCTAACTACTAAAAACAACTCACGCTTTTAAGTTATTCACATAATTCTTATTTTTCCCCCCAAGATAAGCACGAATTTAAGATTGAACATTAATAAAATTAATGTTAATCTTCACCCACTGCAAAGACAATTCCTTTGTCAGCAGCAACAAACTTGAAATAACTGTTTCCAGAGCCATCATAATTAAACTACTCAGAACTGTGACTGGCTGGTTTGGGGATGCATATTTTAATCAACTTGGTTCTGAGGAAAATGTTAAGAGAAAGACACCATTAAATTCTGCCAATATTTGTAGTTTTACTGGTCTACAAGCAAAGATATGACCTATCTTACTTGTCTTTAAATTTATAGTGTTTCCTGTCACAATTAGTCAATATAGCTGTAAGAATATACCAATTTTAAATGTGTCCATCCACCAAGAGTTATTATGTTTGCACTCCCCCAGCACATCTCTTCACATCTGACTGCTTCTCACATACATTATCTACTGGGTTCTTTCTTCATTAGGTTTCAAATGTCTCCTTCCTTTGATCCCATCCCACTACCTTACCTTGTTCCTTATACAAGCTGGGTTAAACCATGCCTTCCTTAATCTTAGTCCCCTACCTGCTCCTCTCTGCCCAAAATCCTGCAATCCACTAAAACCTCAGTAACTATTTAAGTTCTTTCTCTAATCATTTCCATATTTGCACAAGACAGCTGATTCCCTGTAGTCTGACTAAGCTCAGTAAAGTGATCACTTACCACAAGATTGAAGTGCTTAACTTCTCTGCGGCTCTACATCAACGACAGATGTATTGCAAAAATTCTGGGTATGAAATTTGTAGTATCAACTGCTCATTTGAAATTTTATGACTCCCCCAATGATTTAGGATTTGGACAGTTTTGCCTGAGAAATGCTAACAGTACTTATTTTCAAGGGGAAAATTAACACTGAAGACGACTTCTGCAGGACATCTCAGTCCTAATTCCTCCCTGCTCACAGCAAGATAAACTTTCAAGTTCAAACAGGTTAAGTACTTCTTTTTTCAGTCATGTTTTGAAAACTCTAAAGTATAGAATGATTCCACAGCCTCTCTGCATGTAACATGCATTCAACCCATAATCCCTTCAGAGATACTGTCATGTACAGTAACTAAGTTGTCACATCCACAGTCAGGTAGGTAAAGCATTGGCTTCTCTCAGCCATAGCACGTGGTTGTTCTGAGCTGTGCATTATTCACTGTGGTACATGGACTATTCAACCCCTACCTACCCACTCAGCCACAGCAAACCAGGGCTTTGTGAGATCAAATATTTACTTTAACATCAGTATTACATGTCTCCAGTGCCTGAACTACCTTACTTCACCTTGGTTTTGTAACCTCTAACATGCACTAGCTTCGAGTGACCACAGCTGATCCATCAGTCAAGTATTTTGCTGAGAACAAGTCCCATGTATATCCTATTTATAAAAGGGATTTGGGTACTGTGTAATTGAAGAGAAAACGCACCACCAGGAGCATGAGATTATCTCAGTTGCTTAGAGCCTGGTGCAAGTAATGCCAAGGTTGTGAGTTTGATCTCTATGTGGGGCATTTACCTAAGGGCTGGACTTGATGATCCTTATGGTCCCTTGCAACTCAGCTTTTACAGAACCACAAAGTATTCTAACAAGATAACATTTCACACCACTTTCTGAGGCTCTCTTCTCTGCTTTCAGTATCTGTTTGAGAGCACAACTGTCAAAATGACATAACTATACATCTCGTATCAAACTAACTTAAAAACATTGAGATATCATTATGTGAAGCAAGCCTCAGAACACATTTGTCAGCCACTAACAAATTCTCCCAAACTCTGAACTTAGATAATATTTAAATAAATATAGAAATTTAACTTTGTGACTATTTTAAGAAAATCAAAGGGGAACAGAGAAAATTTTTTTGTCCAAACTTCCAACATCAATGGGAAGCAAGCTGGATTCAGAGATAGGGATAGCTGAAAATTCTCAACAAGGAGCATGTAACCTTAATTTATTTATATAATACAACACACACTAAACCAAGGGGAACAATTAGTCAAATTCTGCATCCATAAGCACTTGTAGAACACCAGTACTTGAATCAGGTACACTTAACAAGATTGATAGAACAACAGGAGTACTGATTACTGTATGACTTTTACCTTATTTACGCCATTCTTGCTACAAAATAAGTAAAATTTAGAATGAGAAAGTGAACTCAAGCAAAAGATGCTTTATCTCACATATAAAGCAGAGTGATAGGAAATTGTTGGAGTCCTTCCAAGAACCCAGTGATTAAAAATGTGTCAGTTCAGAGGAGGAATTCCTCTTCAAATCTGTACATGTCACATAATTTTATAGACATCTGGAAAGTTGTTTTCAAACTACGCTGTGAAATAATCTGAACATTTCTAAATTTAAAATCACTCCTGGAACACTTGACTGCAGTTACTGTATTATTAGAAACTTCTGGAGTTAAATCAGAATCAGTTGAAAGAATATAAGACATCTGGAGTTCTCAACACATAAATTAATCACATCCTGCACCACAATTAAAAATCCAAAAAGGAAACAGAAGTTGAGGGACACCCAAATGGAAATTCAAGTGAAACTATAAACTGAAGTAACTTACCTCAGACAACCTCCAAGCCTAGCCACTTGTGATACCTGTAAACATGTACTGATAGTTTTCTCAATAGAAAATTAGGTGGCTTGATTCTTCATACTTGCAGAACAGCCAAAGACACTGAGACACTAAGACTAGTCACTGTCAACTTGGGAAAATGAAAATCTCTGTATTTAAGTTCATAAAAAACACAATTTCATGAAGTATTTGAAACACACACCACTTGCCCTAACAAGGAACAGAATTAACAACTACTTTTGCTCAGAAAAAGATAGTGGAAGCCATGTATGTAACAGCAGTGACAGAGTTTTATGAAACATTTCATAGTCCAGAAGTTTAGAAACCTTATTACTCCCTTAGCCCCAGGGATTCAAATCTTTCTGTATCACAGAATAGTTCAACAGCCTATGAGAGAAGTAAAACTGGAATGCTGGAAGAATTTTCCACTGAACTGGTAAGCTGTGTAAAAACAAAGCAAGACTCAGATACAAAAGAGCAAGAAAAAGTGCAATCTACTTAGCAAATATCTGGTAAATATCAGTTTACCAGAGTATCAAACCCAAACTCTAAGTCATACAGGAGAGAGTAACAGTAACAATAGAAAGGAGAAGAGTCCACAATTAGCCCTCTTTATTCCTTTAGCTAAAAGGCCTTCAGGAAAATATGAGTGAGTAAGAATGACCAGGTATTTACCCTTATTTTGAAAATACTTAAAATTACTTTTATTTCCTCATTGAACATTTGAGGTCAAGGGAAAAGGCTAGAAGAAGACAAAGTTCTGTTTGAACAGCAGCTTCTTATATTATTTGTATTACCTGCCTTCCTTTTTTTTTTCCCATTTAAGTGAGTTCTGTTCTTTCCACAAGCATATTCTGCCCTTCTAATAGTTGTCTTCAAGCTGAGAAACTGTATCATTTAATTACTATGTTTCAACATAAAGGATCTTCTATAACACCAGACAACAGCTCTGAAAACAACCTCAGAATTGTGCCAAACTGAATATGAATTTCATTGCAATACTTTCAGTAGAAGAATGTTAAGTCTTTGCACAAATTGTCACATCCCTTCTCTTCAAATCATTCTTTTATCAATGCCATCTAAACTAAAATGCCAGGAGCTCCTGGAGTAGGTCCAGCAGGGGGCTATGAAGATGATTAAGGGACTGGAGCATCTCTCTTGCAAGAACAGCCTGAGGGAACTCGGCCTTTTCAGTCTGGAGAGGAGACCTTATCAGTGTTTCAGTATCTGCAGGGAGGGTGCCAAGGGGATGGAGCCAGTACAGAATCTTCTTGGTGGTGCTGAGCAATAGGACAAGAGGCAATGGGTAAACTGATGCACAGGAAGTTCCACCTGAACATGAGGAAGAACTTCTTTACTTCACAGGTGATTGAGCACTGGAACAGGCTGCCTAGAGAAGTTGTGGAACCTCTCTCGTGGAAGACATTCAACAATAGTCTGGAGGCAATCCTGTGCTATGTGCTCTAAGATGACTCTGCCTGAGCAGGAAGGTTGAAGCAAGTGACCCACTGTGGTCTCTTCCAACCTGACCTGTTCTGTGATTACCAGGAGAGCAATGCTGTGCTGCTGTTTTCTTCCCGTGTTCGTGCTTTAGAAAAAAATTATACAAATTTGAAAACATTCAACAGAAATATAGAAGAAAGACTACAGGACTCAAAATCAGGCAGCACAGCTAAGTCCTGTACTAAATTAATCCAGAGAAGTTCAGAATTCACAACCTGAATGACTCCTCCCTTCAGAACAAACTCTTACCTAGAAAAGAACAAGACATACATAAAGCTAAGTAGGGATAGCAGTTTCATGCCTTTGAATAGAGAAAAAACACCACTTCATTGTACAAAGTAGGAGAAAAAAGCAACTTAGAAAAGTATGTCAAGTGTTTCTCTGACCTTGGCTAGAAAAACGAAACCCATTTTAATTGGGTTGTTGATGCCAAACATTAACCTAAGTACCATAACAATTCAGGTATGTGCCTTCAATTGTTAGATGAGGAAATCAGCAAGACTGAAAACAATTTAAGAAGGTCAGTAGCCATAAAGGGACAGGGATAAAGGAAACCAATTATTTCAATCCAATAAAGAATGATTTCAGTAACAGACAGTAGTAAACAAATATCTGCCTCCACAAGATGAGATAAACTTTTAGCAAAACTAAAAACTCTCAGTGACAGAGACTACTTTTAATAGAAGGTTCAGTCATTAATATTACAGAGCTTTTTATAAAAGGATGTTTCCTATCTCATCCTTCCACTGTCCTCAGCCTGAAAGCCAAGAACCAGGAAAAACAGATTTTTTCAGAGCATTAAAAGACATAAGTAGGTATGTAAAACATTACTTTAAGAGTCTTGTACACTAGTCATATCAAGGGGGTTTTTTAAGGATGCACACTATGTCTAAAATCCTATTTGCAATCAGACACTATAATTAATAAAATACATTTGGTACTGGTTTAAAGAAAGTCACGATGAAATTTAATCCTTTAAATTGGAGTGGGAAACCACTCTTGCAAAATCTTTTTCTGAAAATAAAGCTTTGCCTATAGGAGAAAGCAAAAGTATGTAAATGGGGAGGACAGGAAATACAGGCAATTAGAAATGGTAAATATGCAAAAGGAAATGCAGAGAAAATCCATTGACTGAAAAAATCTAAGAAGATTTGATTATAAATAATTTCCATTGTAACAATTAAAATGGAAAGTAATAGCCCAGACATAAAAGCTAATTTTAGAAATCCTCTAAGGAATGAAAATTCACTATAGAAAAAGACATGACTGTTTGCTAGAAAACACTGTTAGTACCAGTCAGCACTAGAAAATAATCTTTTGTTTTCATTGTTCCTTTCACTACCAAAATCATTTACATCACCAACTCTCACAAAGAATCCAAACAGACAAAACAGAAATTAGGCCCAAAAACTGTGAAGACAAAGTACTGTCTACCTACCACCTCGGACACAGTTTGTTAGTCTACTGGACTGACAGGAACTTTTTGCTATTGGAAATACGCCTTTTAAATGCAAGAGTTTTAATTTATTGGTATGTACATGCCTCCCAAGAACTGAAGTTGTCTTTGGAACCCAACTAAAATGGGGTTGCCCAGGGAGGTGGTGGATTCTCCGTCCCTGGAGGTGTTTAAGAAGAGACTGGATGTGGCACTTAGTGCCACGGTCTAGTAACTGTGGTGGGATTGGATCAAGTGTTGGACTTGATGATCTCAGAGGTCCTTTCCAACCCATCTGACTCTACGATTCTAAAAAGTTAAGTGAAAAACAAAATAAAATTAAAAAAACAAACCACCACAAGATTCCAGTTAATATTAAACTCTGCTTTGCAGATAAGATCCAACAGTGACCAAACTTTCCTTCTAAATCCCTGAGCAGCCAAATTTGCTCAAGAACTTCAGCAAGAAAGTTCTTGTGCAAACATTGGCGAAATGAGTCAGTAAGGTTCTCTGACACTCTTATTTTCCACACTGTATCCAACTATCACAACAATTTTCTGATTTAGTCACATAAATGAAACAATTGTATAATTAAAAAAAACAGATTTATGGTGCTTTCATGGTGCTTTCAACTGCTGAACATATCTTTCCCCATCCTACCTTGAAAATCATCAAGGCCACAGCATATTATTTGCCTGTAACTTTTACGTGAAATATCAAACTGTAATATTCAACTCATGTTAGAATATTAGACTTTTCTGAATCAGCTACATAATAATATATTTTTGTAGATTCTACTTTAATGTAAAGATAGTATTCTGCCAATAAGCGATTTCAATGGCCCCTTAAGTTTTCACTTCACAACAAAAATAAACATTACTGTAAGGCCATCACAGCATTTGTGACCACTACCAATTCTTCCTGCATGAGAGAGTGCAGGGTGAAACCAGTAAGTATGAGTTACAGAATGTGGAAGAATTACTTCACTATATTTGATGATCAAAATCAGCAGGTTCCTAGAATAACCAGTTACACTGTTTTCCTCAGATGGAAAATGAAACAGTGACACCTGCAACCTCCAGAAACACAACTGCCTGAAAACTTTATTCAAACCTTTAACACCTGCAGCTCACCTGTAAATGGAATAAGTTTGCTCTGTAGAGGCCAACAGTTCTATAACCACTCTAAACTTTCACAGGAAGGATCAGGTTCTCAGGGTAGCCTAAACATGCCCTTAGTTTTGAAAGCAGATTAAAACTCCTAGATATGATGCAATTATTTGTACCCTTACACCACAAACTCACAGGTTTGGGGGTGTCTGCAGACATGCACCTCCATGTTCCTTTTGATTAGGAAGCATAAAAGAATACATTTTAAACACACAGTAAAGGCTGAAGGACCACTGTAAAACTGAAATCCTATGTTTTGCATACTTGGAAGTGCAGCAACAACGTTAATTTGCTTCTGGAATTCCTTAAGTTCAGGCAGAGTCTCAAGAACATAAACTCAAAAAAATCCTAATCCTATTTGCTTGAAAGGCCTAAAAATGGGTTTACTGAGAAAAATGTGTTCAAAACACTACAAATAGGATTAGGGCTTAGCTTGTAACAGTGTTCAATTATTTTAATGGCTTTATCAACCAGCCCAACAGAGGCTTCATTACAGTTAGAGAAACTTGTAGAATTCCAAGATTTTAAGGGATTGGTCAACTGAAAGGGTAATACTCCTTTCCAGAGCAACTGTCTCAAAGCAGTTCTAGGCTTTCTGAAGTGATTATTTATGAGTGTGACTCTGGGATAATTAAATATAAAGCAAGTTGAATTACATATCATATGAAAATATACACTAACTGAAAAGAGCCAAAAGAATCTATAATTTAAGACCACCCTCCACTCATCTGAGCCTGAGCTTTCCAAAGACACCTTTATTCATTTGGAAATATGAATTTCAAATGGTAAGAGAAGCTCTCTCTGCTTCAAGACTTTCCAATAATTTTGTTATCTTGCCAGAAACATAAGTCATCTCTAACCAAGGCCAAAGTAGTCTCCTTTATGAAAGTTAGCAGAGCAACCACAGGAGACAAAGTTGTACCACCCTCAAGGTTTCCCAAAAAAAGTGTTTTGGCCAATTACAAAGAAGTCGTAGAAACATGTAACTCTTACATAAAAATGCGAGCAACATAACCTCAATAATTCTGATCAAAAAACATCAAAGCAAGGCCTGTGTTTGCAGGATTGAGGCTTATATTAAAGAAGATGCAGGTAACACAACTACTGGATTCTTACTGTATTTGAATTAAAAATTAGATAGTAGCATGTTTTTAATGAAAAGTCTCTAGAGAGTCATAATAAAATGTTCTGTTTACTGCAGTTGTTAGCATACTCTACTACTATATGTTCTTCCATCATAAGCAATGCAAATCAACCTTAAAATGAAAGGAAATCCCGCTAGGCTTAACCTGGTCTTCCCTCTCCCCTAGGCATCCCCACCATCTCCCAGCCTTCATTTACAAGTTTAAATGCACCTGTACTTAAGAACCAAGCTGGACACCTCACATGACACCAGCATGATCTCAGGGACATCAGCATGATCATAATTATGGCCTGCATGAATTTCAAGTGCAAGTTACTCCAGAAAAGCAACTCTTCCCTTGACAAACTCGTCGAGGGCAGAGTTCTTCTCCTGCCACTTCCCCACCATTTTTATGTCCAAAAAGCACCAAGCACAGCAGGGTCCCAGACCCCGCTCTACAGCCATAAGGCAAAATGAAGACAAAGAGACCCAGAGATTTGCCCCGGCAGGTCCTGAAGCCCAAGACAGCAACCCAGCAGACAGACAGACAGCACTGAGAGCCAGCACAGAAATGCCCTGTGCACCATCCCCACCCTCAGCTTTGGACACCTTAAGCTTCACCAGGGAGGTTTAGGTTGGATATTAGGAAGAAATTCTTCACAGAAAAATGATTAGATATTGGAATGGGCTGCCCAGGGAGCTGGTGGAATCACCGTTTATGGATAAAGACTGGACGTGGCACTCGGTGCCATGGTCTGGTTGACATGGGGGTGTTCAGTCTTAGGTTGGCCTCGATGATGCCGGAGGTCTTTTCCAACCTAACCGATTCTGTGAAATGCACAAACACCAAAACACCTGGGAAAGGGGGCATCTGACACCCAGAGGGAAAAGCACAGCGGACAAGCCCCAGAGAGCGCGTCCCCCGCTCGCCGCCCGCCCCCGGCTCACCCGGCAGGTACTCCGCCTCGAAACGCCGCCGGGTCTCGCTGATCAGCGCCGCCTTGTCCTGCCGCTGCTGAAAAGAAACAAGGAATGGGAGGCCGTGGAAGCAAGGGAAAGGCCGGGGCCTCCAAGCGACCCCAGCCAGCCCCAGCCCCTCAACTGCGCGGCAGGTCCGGGCCACCCACCCCGCCCAACCACCAACCCCGGGCAGCTACGGACGGGCACTAAGACAGCAGCAGGGCAGCAGTGAGGGGGCAGGGGCGCAGGGACTCACCTCAGCCATGATCCAGCGGGTCCCTCAGCCCGCGCCGCCCGCTCTGAGGCGGCTCCAGCAGCGCGAGGGGCGGCGGGAAAAGGGGACGGAGCGCCGCGTGACCCCGGCGGGGGCGGGGCCTCAGCGTCATTGGCTGCCCTGAGGCCCCGCCCCCTCCCCGGCCCCGCCCGCTCTCCCATCGTGCTCCCGGAGGCGGGAGCTTTGGAGGATCCTGCCTGGCCGGGAACTGCTGCGGGAGCGGCCCCGGAACACGAGTGAGGCCCCACCGGTGCAGAGCCCGCAGTCGCTGCCCCTCTCTGCGGGAGCTCGCGTGGCCCGGCCCGTGCCTGAGCCGGGTGAGGGGCGTCGATGCGGACCCCGGAAGTTGAGTGAAACTTGGTGAGACGGCTGCGGTTCGCTCAGGGTCCCCGGGGTCTTCTGTGGGCAGGGAGGAAGGTAGGGAGCTTCTTCAGAGAGCCTTCTCCTTAGCGAGGTTTTATGGTTTTAACAAAAAGTGAATTGTAATTGTTAACAGTCACTACACCTGAGACAAGGCTCTTACATTTGGAAATTCAAGCACCGTTGCTTTCCAGTCTGCTCAGTGTATTTGTGGCACTGACACGTCCCATCCAGTCACACAAACTGCAAGTGTACAGTTTGGTTTCTATCAATTTATATTATGCCGTGCAGCTGTTGATAACCAGAGAATTCATATTTTGGCAAATAAGCGTTTCTGAAACGTTTCTATTACTTGAATCTCTCAGTGCACAATTGCTTAACTTCGTTTTTAATCTGTGACATTAAAACACATACCGGCCTCATTCTTCAGTCTCTCATGTTATTGTTTTACAATGCATAGGTTTTCTAAACGATCAGTTCAATTAGTCCCAAAGTAATTTATCCTTTTTTTCTTGTTTGCTTTTGTAGGTAAAAAACATCCAGATAGATTCAAATTCCCACAAAGAAATAATCCTTGGGGATGCATACGGTTTTCTTGTAGAGGAACATACATAAAGCTAAATCAAGATGCTTCTGGAGGAGCAAGAACAACTCTTGTCCTACAATGGCGAAGTCCTTGTATTTCAGCTATCAAAACCAAAACATGTGGAGGGATCAGCTGATAAAACAATGAGTTTATGTGTCAGAAGAATGGCTTTCAACAGAGACACTAAGGTGTTTGTTCAGAAGTCTTCTGGAGCACTCAGCATGCATGCTAGTCACTCAAAAATTGAAATAATTTGTTGTAGCTGCACAACAGATTCCAGAACAGGGATTATTCTTCCGTGCATTTTGATGAAAAAGAAAAAACGGAATAATGTCAAATACATTTTACTATTGCTTCACAGTTCAAATCAGTTTGAGCAGTCCTTTCATTTTAAATTGGATTATGAGCTGAAAGAAGAGATCAGGTTATTTGCTGGCCCCTCAGTGTTGTGGAGACATGCCAACAAGCTGTTCTACATCTCTTCCAATACCTGCGTGGTCCAAAGTGCTCCTCTTCAGCTTTCTTCAGTTGTGTGGACAGGTGAAATTGTAGGTGAAGGCACTGTTGTCTTAGGGATAAGAACTGCTTGCCTGCCAGAGAGTGAAGATGCAGATGAATTTTCCGTTTCAGACAGAGCCATCTGGGGTAGCGAGTTCTTTGGATATGCAATTCAAACACATAAAATGCTGACTGGCACGTGCTTCATGCCCCATGCTTACAGCAGAGTGGTGTCTTCTGTCTACGTCTGCAAGAGTGAGAGATTGAAAAAGCAGCTCCGAATATCACTTGTTGCCATAACCCACAAGAATCAGCTTATTTGGTTCCAAAATGGTCTCCCTAAAGGTGTTTGTGAGCTTCCTTTCGAGAAACCATGTTCAGTAAAAACAGCTGTAACCAGTAGCAATGATTTGCTATTTATCGTGTCTTTTGCCTCTGGAAATAGCTGTGTTGTACAGAGGAGAGACAGCTTACAGGTACTGGGGTCTTTAAACAGCCCCATTTTACCACTATCTTTTTTGTTTATGTTGTCTTATTGGAAGTTCCTGGAGCTGAAAAACTGCGCATTTAAGTTTGTTAGATTTCTTGTTTGTTACTGTTGCTGCTGTTAAAAAAACCAGTCTGAAGTATGAGATTGTTTTGCTTTTGGTGCTGGCTTAAATATCTGAAAATGAAGCTGGGATTCTGTCTCTTAAAAATACACTTATGAATCTGAGCCAAAGCTTCTTCTGCTACTGAAAACTGCAGTAGTGTGAGAACTTGAAGTGGTAAGAGAGTTATGAGCATGCCTATATAATTTGTGTTAAACTGATATTGTTGCAAAGCATAAACTCCTTATTGAAATCTAAAAGCTTTTTGAGTCTCATTTCCTAGTAACAAAAAGTGTTGTTTCATGACAAGAAGAGGCCTTGCTATTGTTTCTTAGAAGGGACAAAATTAAGTGCTAGGGTTTTGTAATAATCTGACAAGAAGCCTTACATAACTCAGGAAATAAAAATTGTTCTACTTAGTTGTCAGCGTTATTGTACAAATTTGTCTTTACTTTTAAGCGTATTTAAGTGTGTAACAAAGCAAAAATATTTTTCATTGTCAAGGTTATAATGCCTTTAACTGATCTGCAAGTATTACTGTTCTAAAAAAATATTACAGCATTCAGCCATTTGAATACACTGAAAAGTTTTCATCTCTGCAAACCAGTATTCTGGAAAGTGATCTTTAAAGAGAAATGGCTAATTTTTCTCAGAGTTACATAGGCTCTAAATGATGAGGTGAAAGTGAGGGCTTAAAATTTAAAACTACTGTATTCCACGCACCAGAATAAGCTGCCTCTTTATAAAAAATAAGCTTGTGCAAAATGAGATCTCAAATAAATCTATTTTCAAACCTTTTCTACTGTAGGTGGCTTCCAAATGCCAAAAACTGAAGTGTGTTCTGGTGGATGATTTTATTGGCTCTGGAAGTGAGCAACTGTTACTGCTTTTTCAGGATGACTCCAATACAGATGTGTTAAGTACATTCCAAATAACAGACCTTGGAGGGGTTGACTATGCAGTAAGTCGAGCTTGCCTTTTCTCAGCTACTCAGTCCGTGCTTACTAATTTAAGGAAACCTCAACAAATCACTGAAGTATTGGTGCAAAGTGAAATTGGATGTGTGCTGTGAAATGCCCCGAAGTTTGAATGCAATATTCCTTGCTGTAATGATAACTTATCTGAAGAGATTATCTACTTCCTCGATAGTATTAACAGTGTTTTGGGAAATTAATGGAATTGAAAATGCTTCATATATGTAACAGTTTTGCTACAATGCTTACCTTTTGGCTAAGGGCTCTTAATTAAGGCCATAGTGCTTGTTAATTAGCTTCCCATAATTGGGTCTTTCCATTATGTATTATCAAATTCTAATTGCTTTCAGAAGATAAATTTTTTTTTTTTAAAGGCATCATGTGGCTCTGCTGGTTTTTTGTGTTTTCCCACAGAATTTTGTAATGCTGTGTAATAGCCTATATCTTATTTTCAGCTTTTTAATTAATTCAGGGTTTGGGGTTTGGTTTTGTTTTCTTTCAGAGTGGTATTAATTGTAAACATGTTGTTCCTGCTGCAGAAGGATTGCAAGAGAATGGTTTGCTTACTATCCAAGCCCTTGAAACAAGATTGCAGGTTTGTACTCAACTGTTCTGCCTTCATATTTTCTATAAATTATTTTTCCGTATCATTACATTTTCTAAAGAGTGAGGGTAATTATGCTGTTTTTATTGAAGAATTAGTTCAGGGAAAAAGACAACATACTAAGTATCTGTTCTTAAATCAGTGGTTGTCTGTGTTTCAGTTATCTCAGTTGTCATAAATACATTTGGGTAATTGTAAAGGTCTAGTTTAATTTTAGTTAAAAGTTTGAGCTAATGCTGAAGCTATCTTATCAAAGTTTCTTAACAGTCATTTTACTCATGGATGCTTAAATACCAGTTTATAAAATTAGAATGTTTACTTCTTTTGTTCCACATCCCATATTTTTCAAATTGCGTAGGGTCAGGTTCCCAGTGCTTTTGCACAAGTTGGTTACTGTTGTTTTATCAGCTGCTGATGTTTCTCCTCCTCTTCCTAGCAGTTTTATGGGGTAATTTTGCAAAGTACAGTAGGTGTAGCTAAAATGTATCCTTCTTTCAATTAGCATCATTTATAAAACAAGCTGGGGGAAACTTGGTAGAGCCCAAGCAATCCATGGGAATATATCATTGCCTTTCTGCTTTACTTTCTACCTGCCTTTCTGTCTTTCATCCTGTTAGTAAACACCCAGCATATGCACCAAGATGGGCTTTTGCAGTGTGTGTATTGGACTATACCAAATGCATAACAGTTGGCAAACTAGGAAGATTATTAAAAAAAAAAGCTCATATTGACTCAGATCTCATATTGAGATATGAGGATATTGTTAGTTTGCTAAAAGTACTTTAACAACGAGATGCGAGGTAATTATTCCCATAATTTGAGAATTAGTGAAAACTAAGTGGAGTATCATGTCAGTTTTATTTCCAGCCTTTAAAAATGTAGCAAATTAACTGGCAATAGTTTGCCAGTTAATAAATAAATAAAGGGAGGGCATATTAAGAAAAGACTGAAAAAGAAACTACTTTTCTAGTTCTAATAACAAAGGAGATGTCTAAAGAGATGTTGTGCATCTTCCAAAAGATAAAAGCTGTTGTTTGGAGAACAGTGGTCAAAATTTTTTGCTTCCTGGAAGGCACAAGAAAGTAGGAGCTGGATTAATTTTAAGGGCCTCTTTGAGGTCCCTTCCAAGCCTGCATTTTTACATTCTTCACTTTGTACATTAGAGGCCTGTTGGCTTTAACGTGCAGAAGTGCAAGCTTCCTTCTAAATGCATTTTTTCTTTTCCTGAATTTTTTTTTGACAGTCATATATTTTAAAATTGGTTTCTTTGCTGCTCTATTCTTTCTCTACTCATTACATTACTTTCCTTCTTCTACAAAACAGAAATTAGTTTGTCTCGTTTGTTGCTCCTTCTGCTATTGCAATGAAGCTTGTCCACTCTGCCATTGACAGATATATGTTCTATATTCCATAACTTTGTACTGTTACTGTACCAACTGGCTTCCA